GGCAGATGGTTCTGCATTTGACAGGGCCATGTAACTGACAACTGACCCGACCCAACTCAGCATGGCGTAACATTATTTCCATTAACTGCACCTCTCACCATGACATCACGCAAATTTGTAGCGATACTGAGTTTGAAAAGAAAGAATAAAGAAAAGTAAAGCGAATATATAAAACGATGATACAAAGCGTGGCTTTTTACTGAGCAGAAATTTGGCAACTTTCGGAACAAAAAAAAAAGTTGAGAATAATGGAAATGAATTTCCTAAGAAGAGCGGATGGAATATCCAGAAGAGAGAGAGTGAGAAACGAAAGGATTAGAGAAATCATGAGGGCGGATCGAGATATAATTGAGGAGATAGAGAAAAGACAACTGATTTGGTACGGACACGTGCAAAGGATGGAGGAGGAAAGGTTACCAAAGAAGACTATGGAATGGCAACCAAAAGAGAGAAGGAAGAGAGGAAGACCGAGACCAGGATGGAACGATGGAATTACAAGAACCATGATAGAGTGGAAACTACCTCCGGAAGGATGGGAAAATAGAGGAGAATTGAAGAAAATATTAGGCACCGGAAGACCGAAGTAACGGTCAAGAAACGGAAGAAGAAGAAGAAGAAGAAGAAGAAGAAGAAGAAGAAGAAGAAGAAGAAGAAGAAGAAGAAGAAGAAGAAGAAGAAGAAGAAGAAGAAGAAGAAGAAGAAGAAGAAGAAGAAGAAGAAGAAGAAGAAAAGTAAAGCTGTCCCACTATACGCCATGTAGGCGCTTGGGGGGAGTGGAGGTATAGCTCCTACTCATTCTTGACCTCGGCACCAAATTGGGGTGAGTGGTCAGCATCACGCCCCGGCCGTGCTTTACCCCTGGAAAAGGATCCCGGTACCCAATGGACAGGAGGCTGGGTGGACCCCAGAGCCAGTCTGGACGCAGAAAAATCCTCTGCCCCCGTCGGGGATCGAACCCCGGACGCCCAGTCCGTAGCCAGTCACTATACCGACTGAGCTACGTCGGCTCACAGAAAAGAAAGAATATTATTATATTTATGGCGACACCACAGTTTTATGTTATTTATTCGTTCCATGTTGCAGAGTTATTCTTGAGAGTCTAATGGCGATCACTCGGCTGTCAAGAATTACAAAGGGTTTTATGTAACCCAAGGCAGACTGCCGCGTTCACAAAAGCCCGCTATTGAATCCTGTCTCGGTTCGAGAGTAAAATTGCAAAGCACATAAATTCCGATAAAACATTTAAAGTTGTAGGTTCTCATACGGTAATGATTATTAACGTTTAAAAGCAGCTTACAACTTTCTGCCCCGAATATGGAGGAGGTAGTTTCCTCCAACAGGACTATACAGTGTCACAACTCTTAAAACCGCAATGAAGACGGACGCTGTTCCCATTACTAAACACAGCAGAAATTCAGAATCGTGAAATGCGACAGTGAAACAGCGTCCTAAGATCCAAATCGAGGCTTCCTGCCATCAGCGCTAGCAGAAGATGCGCTCGCAATAATCCAATTTGTATGTACATCAAACGACTCACAATCAGGACGTACGCACTCACGCATCTTACGCTAATAGACTTCTACGTCGACAAGTTACGGTGCTGCAGACTGCGAAGTTCTCAGTCCTTTCAGAGCGCCGTAAACTAGAGCAAATTGACAGCAGATGGGAACGCCCCCTGAGGAACACCAACGTAGCTCCATGATTCCTCAGTCCTAATGGTGTGAGCAATCGATATTATTCTCGAATTTGGAGGTCGGTATTTCTGATATGACTTTCGTGGTATTCCTCAGCCACGTAAGGAAAGTAGCCTGAATAGAAATAGTCGATAACAACCTCATTCCACATCTTTCGAAATTCACCATTTTAACAGTCATTCTCCAATTCCATTTAATTAAAGAGCATTGTTAAACAAACAAAGAAATAAATAATAAACTTGTCTGAGGTTCTCATGGCTAAGATGGAGATTTTGTTCTTGGAGGGGGGGGGGGGGGGGGGGGGGGTGGAAGACCATCGATCGATAAACAATGAACTTCGCTACTAACTTCTTCCTTTTTGGATTTTAAACATACTTTGTTGTTAAAAAGTCTTAAAAATCTAAAACTGTAAAAAGAATCAGTTTCTAAGGATGGATCTCCCTTCGTCTTCAGATAAATAGGAGGGCACACCTGTTCTGTTGGTCCGATAGGTCGAGATATTCCCGATCTGTGGACCACGTTAACAGCCTGGTTCACAGCTAGCGCGTTTGAAAAATATACGAAGACGAGCAGGTTACACTTTTCTATTCTTATTTATCCGATAACAGTTATGATATGTCAGGAAACCAAAGAAATATTTCGTGGCGACCCGACTATGGCACACGAGCTGCAAATTGAAGATTTCTGTACATTCATGCCTTGCGTTAAGGCACATTCACACGACTCGTGTCATTGGATATGGTTAAAAAATATGGCACGTGGGAATGCCACTACATATCTTGTGACACATGATCAAGAGACATGACTCAGCGAACGGCAGTCTGCTGAATAAAGTGAAAAACTGATTTCTTATGATTTATATTTCGCTTCGGATAACTCAGCTGATATCCGTATTATAGCTAATCCAATATAACCTCACCCAAACACCCATCTTCCCCTATGTCTTGACTCTATTAGTTACATAACAGAACGAACACAAGAAAAGCCTCCAGTCTTTTCGAAGTCCATAGAATTTCCAACGACGATAGAGTTTCTGAAGAAAAAGTCTCTCTCAGAAATGTTAAGACCTCACAAATAGCTTTGGAGACGAAGACAGTGTGTATCATCATTGCCTTTCTGTTTGATGTTGGACAAAAACGATACTGGAGTGATAACAGGTAAAGGATTGCAGTTCATTACGATGTTCACGAATTTCTATTACTCTACCTTATCCTGACCCACTTGTATCCAATACACCACGTAACACCTAATCTGTATACGATCTTAGGCATCTCAAAGATGTCTTCGTATCATCAATTCCGACTACAATTTTGTATTTATTTTGTATGTACCTATGCTCTCTCAATACGTGCTATATGGCTAGTTCATCTCACCGTTCTTAATTACACTGGGTTAAATTAATTATCTCGTGAACATAGAGGGAATATAAGTGGTCGCACCCCTCGGTTCGTGCTACCACAGCGGAGTCCGCGAACCATGAAACACGAGCAGTGAAGCATGGGTAAGGGACAAGCCAAGTGAGTGCGTAAACTGGATGGACTGGCAGGCAGTCCGTATGAATCAACATCGCTACACGTTCTGTTTACTGATACGTAAACTGCAAGATCGCTTTATCTTTGCCTGTCAAGCTCGTTCGAGTGCGAAGCTGCTGTGCGTGAAAAGCTCATGCCGCCGTACCTAACCTCGTTACCTGCTCATGTACATTAAACATTCGCCAGAATAAAGGAATCGTTGATGGCTCATCTCACATTTCACAGAGGCAAACTCCTCGTGGTAAACAACGACACCTGGGAGACTTGCGTGTAAATTAATCTTTCGGAAACATGGTGTGAGGATGTGGACTGGGTTCATCGGACTCAGGACTGGGAGAAGCGGCTGGCTATTGTGGACGCGGTAATGAACGGAATGTTCCTTGACCGGCTGAACAAAGTAACAGCTTCTTCAAGACTGACTCAACTCCACGAAATAAATTAATATCAAGGCCAGTGAAATATGAAAAATAGCAAAGAAAGACTATGTTGTTCTCCTGGGTAGTGGCGCCGTGTAGACTATCGAGAAGATAAAATTTCGGAGAAACACAGTCTCCGTATTCAGGGATGAAAATGATCAAATCAAGAAAGATGAGATGGGCGAGCATGAAGTTCAGATAGGAAAGACGAGAAATGTGTACATTTGTATCCGAAATCCTCAAGACATTACTTGGAACACCTAGGAGTAGACTGAAGGATAACATTAAAACAGACCTTAAGCATGAGGAGAATGAGGACTGCATTTCATTGGCAGGTTCTTGTAAACTCGGTAATGAAACTATGAACTAAATCCAATATAATTATTATATTGCCATCAATATGTCAACAGAGACTCGTTTGTTAAAAAGGAGGTCATGGCAAAGCAGTTTATTCTACTAAATATCCGTGAATGACATTGTTATATAACCTCAGAACTGATCTTTCAACTCGGACCGTGAAACCGGTTAGGTGCCAAGACATCAGCTCGAAAATTCTCTCTGCAAGAATCACACACACACAAAAGAAAAACGAAAAAAAAACGCCCTATTTAGAAGTCGATATTTCATCGCATGACGACGGAACGTCGCGGCATAATGGTTAGCACTTCCGCTTCATATAAGGGAGGGCTCGGATTCAAATCTCAGTCTGAAAAGCGTCTATAGTAACAGGGTTTCCATGGTTGTCCTCAGTCCTTCCAGACAAATGCAGGAATGTACCCTCATTCATAGACTGTTTCATTCAATTCTTTTTTAAGTAACTGGGCCTTTTCAATAATCATACTATTATTTCCCGTCACATAGTTTGGGCTACTGACGGCCTTAAATAAATAAGCAAACATGCCTTCAGTACCTAACAGACAGTACGATATAGGCCTATCATAGCTGTCGGTGCTCCTCAGAATTTAGAGAAATTGTAACCGTTAAGTTGTATTCTTGCTGCTTCATACAAATTCGAATTTTGACAAAGTTCATAAACAGAGTATAATGACAATTTGTATAGTCAAAATCAGTTATAATTCTGAGGAGCATTGCGTATAGCAACGTTTCTATAATACCTGCTTTAAAAAATCAATTTATAATGTTGGTAATACAATGAGGATGTTGTGAAAACTAATCGATTAGCTTGTTTGGTGACGTCAGCAACTGCTAATTGAGGTTATGCAATTACTTTAACCCACTTATATAATTCGGAGAATGGACACGCAAAGAATTTATTCGACCAGCATTCGTCATAAAGAATAAGTTTGAGGAACAATGAACGCAAGATAACGTTACCAAAATATTGAGTTAACACATGCCTGAAGATGATCCAGCAGTGCTTCCAGACCTCTGTCGCTAACACTGGAACACTGTAGGCTTAGAGAATGGACGTGCTTGGCAGCCAATGGGAAAGAATGTACCAAGTCCAGGGCATCCTCGTCCGTAGCTCCAAGAAGTGAGACCGCATGGAAACCTCTTCTGAGGAGCGAAGAGTAGAGCCTGGCTCTCTCTGGGCACGGGGCAGCCCTGAGCTCCCTACACTTCAGCACAGGTGTCAGTCCAGCCCAGTACCTGGGGGTCCTGTACAGCACATCCCTCCATTTCCCACACACTTGAGCCAAGGTTCGACGTTCACCAGGAGTAAAATAGAGGAAAAACTTTGACAGAAAACGTTCATCTAACATCAGCTGATCCCATGTCAAGTATTGCGGTAAAGAAACACTGGACGATGTTGTCGTTGCCGTGTTTTGGTTAACGACGGACGTCGGTACACGACGAGTAACTTGAGGGGTCACTAGGACGCTGTTTCCATTCACTGCCGAGGAAGCTGCTTTTGAACTACGACCTGAATGAAGACGAGACGGTTTTTCAGGTGCCCCAACACTACCACCACTAGAAGCCACACTGTTCGAATTACTTCCTCCACAGAACACATTGGTAACTCGTTCCATGACGCTAGTTTTAGTATTACCACCTCCATGACTTCCCGTCTCACCATTATTAGTGGCAGCGGAAGATGAACTACTACGGTGATGTTTACTGCTCCGTAAACCTAATCCATTTATCCTTTTTGAAAGTTCCGCACTTGCTCTTTCGACAACACCTTGGGCTGAGATAGACGACATAGTGTCTTCAACAAACGTCACGACTGTGTGGAAGACAATGATGAAAGCCTAGTAGTTGTGAAGAGTGTTGACGTCTCCATTACCATTAAAAAATCCTTTCTTCGGTGGTGAATCAGCACCACTGACACCCCGAAACAAAAAATTGTTTCCGCGATTATGTTGACCCCTTTCGAGACTTCACGGAACTATCCACCACCACCACCCTCGGGAGGGGTGGACTTTCTTCCTCTCTTCTTCACGAGGGACGGTTGTGTACTGAACAGACACTTCCACCTCGATCAAATCTGTCCTCCTCTCACCACCGCCCCCCAAACAATTTTAGCCAGTCGATGCCGACACGATTAGGCAGGTCTCCTCCCTTCCTACTGCTTTCATGCGCAGTGGTGACCGGCGCAAGTCGCATATACAGACTCTGTGCCGCATGCAACTGATCGATGTGCATGTGCGTATCGATTATTTTCAGTTTCCATCTCCCTTCACACTACCCTTACATAGACAGGCCGCAATTTATCGTCACTAATTTACGAAATACTCTGCTATTACAATCCCTTGTCTTTCATCTGTAAAAACTCAGTGCAACACAAAACTAATTCTAGCCCCAGGATATTCCAAAATATCAGACTTAAGATTTAGCCAGCAATAGTACATTGACATAAAATGGCGTGACCATTCATTCATATTCCACGGCCTTTAGAATTATGGTTGCATATGGCGGGAAGTTTTTCTTACAAACAACTCTCGGATCTAGACTAATGAAAATTAAATTTTTAAATGCACTAAAATCAGAACAAAGTGTTTGGGCAGTGAAATCTTTACTATAACCTTCTTTTCTGAGTTTTAACAAGCCACCCTATTTAAACTCCATGTATAAAATACACCACTGGAAAGAAGGTAAAACTCCAAGCATTTTCTGTCTCATCAATAGATGTAGATGAGTAACCAGCTTCATGATCCAGCTGCTTTTACCCTCGGGGAATAGAGGCTCCAATACCCATGGGATACAGGTATTCAATGCTGGGTGGGTCTTTATGAATTTCTGATTATGACAGTGAAGACTGGAAGTATTGTTATGTAATGCTGTAACAGGCCATAAGGTATATAAAGGAAAGGAAGAAGACAGTGAAAACAATCAAAGCCCTGCCAGGAATCAAGCCTCATCATTCAGAATTAACACGGTTTTTCTATTTTGACTCGAAGAGCCCATTTCATTGAAATTCTGGATGTCATCATCTAAACTATGTTAAGCACACAATTAACCTCTACCTTTAGAACGTTTTCTCTTCAGATCCACAACTGTGAATAGACTTTATTAGTTCGTGTAGGCCAAACCTAAATCCCAACATCCTGCCTCCCTATATTTGTGTATTTGTTCCTCTGTTCCCCAAAATAGAAAATACTTCAACCATCACTGGAATTATTTACCAGCTCATAGTTTAACACATATCTCTAGTGTTTTCGTTCTACAATTCTTACTAATATGTACAGAAATATTCAGAAAACCATACCAATATAAAAAATTAACATCGTTTTAAAAACTTTTACCATAAGTATAAATGCCTCTGCCTTCTGAAGCCTTCCACACAGCATTCAAATTTTTGTTATCTCTGAAATAAAAATTATTATAATTAAACCCCAACATTATTGAAATTCAAAGAAAAAACACAGTGTTAAATAATTTTTAGTTCTTCTGGTCCATATGTGCCCATAACTGGATACAAATGCTTCTTCCTTTTTCAATCCATTCTTACTACAGTACAAAGTTAACATATATCATTGTTATTATCTCACAGGTTTGTCTTCCTTTTGGCATTATTATCCAGTCCTCATGCATGAAGGAAACTGAAGACAGATTAACATCTGAAACTGATAAAAAAGTGTGTAAGCTGATGTTAATTGAAAAGAAAGGGATTTCTTTACTATAGAATTTATATTTTAATATTTTCCGTCAAATCACAATTTTTAATAATAAGATAATAAAATATAAAATATTTAAAACATAGAATTTATATCAAAGTCTCAGAACAGTTATTAAAAATATCAATCAGGATAACCATTGGTTAAAAGAGGATGAATCAGCTACTGTGTAAAATGTACACAGGTGGAAAGCAGTGTTATCTTTGTCATCTGGGAACAGGGGAGATTCAAACTGCAAACTATGGGGCTTACAGCTGGACCTGATTGCTGGGTTAACAGTTTGAAGGTATGATACTGTGACACACAACAAGCTAGACCACATATAAGCTGTGATGCACAGCCATATAAACAAGGTAGGCACAATCTATATTTTGCTTCTCTTCATTTACACTTATCACAACATTTGTCATCAGTTTTTACTACTGCAGTTGGTTTGTGATTTGGTGTCCATGGCCCAAGACTGTCATTAGAATAGAAATCCATGGGATAATTCCTCTCCTCATCAGCTTGCCATTCTGCCTCACGAAGTGCAATGGCCCCTTCATATGGTGTCAGCAGAGGTTTATCAAAAGCCTTGCCCCAGTCTATGGAAAGTCGTGGACAGGCAACTTGTATCCAAGCTCCAATATCAGGAAACAAACGCAGTTTATCCGGAAAAATCTCCGAAAGCAAAACAATCACACCTTCTTTAGATACTTTACTCAAACGATCCTAAAACATTGAAGCTCATATCAGTATCATGCACAGCAATAACAATATATCAACTTACTAATATTACACTAGCAGATTTTAAAGGCTGACAGGCCAAGAAAAGTAGGACCAACATCATAAACAAATACAACCAGCTCAGTCAATATCATCTCTCACTGACGAATTTTAATTTTGGCAAAATACAAGTTCTCCTCTCTCTATACCTAGAGGCTTCACATCTGGTAAACTGTTTTTTGGCTTATTTGATTAAAATTTTCAATTGCATCAGATGTTCTGGTAATACCTTTCCTGAAGACTCCATGTTAATATTTTTACTACACTACCCAAGAAGAATGACCCAAGAGGATCTATATATTTAATTTTAAAATTCATTAGAGAAACAATAATTTTTATATATGTATCACTGTCCAGGGTATAATAAAAGGCTTCTAAATTAAGTTAGTGTGTTCCATTCTATGTATACCTGAAAGTGCTCCAAAACTTTTGTGCTCCCCTGGCGGCCTAGAGTTCCAAGGATTAGTCCAAATCTTGAAGCATTACTTGCCTCACTGATTGCTTGTTTCCTTACAGTTCGCATCTCAACATGATCATAGAATTCTTCTGTAAACTTCTTGTCATATGGATCATATCTGTAAATAAAACATGGCATATGTTCATGAAAATATGTAAAATCCTAATTTTGGTACTACAACATAAAGTCTGTGGTTTCCAATGATAAAATGATGTTAACCCAGTTTCATACAAACTGAAAACAAAAGAAAAACTTACATCCATACATTACTCATCTAGTTTGAACAAATAAAAGTCACTGAACCATACCTCATACTTTACTTAAATATGAGTACAACTCTAAACAACATTTACATGTTAACTTTACCTATAGAAGCATGGAAACATGAAATGAAAATAAGAAAGCTGTCAGTGAACCTACCTGTATGCTTTTAATTTTGGATTTGCTATCATAGCAGCTTCAAGATGAAAACGGCCATCTCCCAAATAAATAAGGACATCTACATCAGGGATTTGAGGTGCTGTGCATCCTAGAATTTCACCTGGTGAAAGAGGTCGACTTTGAGGTATTGTGATTTGATATCCATCTCGCCTGAGTTCAGCTGCAACTCCTTGCAGTGTGGCAACAAACTGAATGGTACTCACCAAACCTAGCTTCAAATGCTTTGGAAAATTAAGCTTCACAGTATTATGGAAATGAAGAGCATCAATCTTAATATCTACAAATATGTATAACATTTTTATCCCTGATGTTTGGTCAATGGGAATCAGGCAGCTATGTCCATAATGAACTAAAAGATCAACACCTAGGGCTTTAGCTGTATAATCGTCAACACAACAAGCACCATACGTCACGTCGCCCATTATAACAGTATCGGCTTCTGTGAACTTTTCAATTATATCTGCAATTGTAGTGGCAAACATCACCAATCCTTCTGGCATTTGAAGTGCGACTCTTTTCGCCCCTGTCTGACGTATGCGCCAGATTGTTTTGGGTATCTCAAAATTGTAATTCTGTGGGAGAACAGTCACTGCATTTCTAAGGTTAACATCGTGTAGGAGTTCATCCGGGATCTTGTTGACGGACTTTACTGTATGTTTAAACACTTTTCTTTCGCTCTTAGCTTTCACCACAACAGCCCCACGACCTTCCGACATGTTAATAGTGAATGAAAATCAAATTATTTCTCTTAATTTCCTCAATATTTATCGTAACCTAACCTCGCCAACTTCAAAACCACACAGCATAACCACCATGAACACGCCTTTGGCCTTGCGGGGAGCCAACCTATCCAACTAAAAATTATCTGCTACGTAGGTGATACGTGCATAATGAAGATTATAGAATTAACTGACTCGTGATGCAGCATCAAACCATAATAATTATCACATAAGATCAGGGTAGCACAACTTTCTACTTGGCCTGCAAAATATTGAAAATTTATCGAGTAAATATTGCGGTAGTAATCCTCTACATTGCATGTAGTAACTTACAAATGACGCATCATGTTCTTTTTTTTGAACAATGCATTAGTTGTTGACGCATATTAGGTCATTTATATATACCACTTTGCATGTAGAACATGCAATCAAATAAATAAACATGTTCTCATACAAGCATACATGAATTCCCTCTTGGTAGATCAAAATATTTTAACATAACTTTTGTGTCTTAACCTCTAGACACCCAGCTCTCTACAACTAGAAATTAACATTACACACTTATGTTGCACTGACAATTCTTACTATTGTAAATGAAGAAAATTCATACTTAGAAAAGAGCCATGGCTGACATTACCCATTTGTTTGACACACAAGTTTATTAGATAAGAAATATTAAGCTACTACAGCACGTATGACCAAGATTTTGCAGTAACTAAACTCAATAAATCCTCTTAGGTAACAAGCTCTTGGGCTCCTGCCCATGACTGAAATAGTTTGTTGTCAAAGACTTTATTACTACAGCATACTATTGAAGTAATCTCTTATACAAAATTCAATGGTTTCTGAATCAGAATGAAGTAATTCAACCATCTCCAACAAGTATAAAAATTCCTTAATTAAAAGGGTAAGCACAGGGTATTTAATGGAGTCAGTAAATTGTATAATAATTAAGCCAGTTTTTCTTTCTAACTGTATCAAGAATATATATAAATAACCAATTTATCAAGCACCACAAACAATAGGATATTAATAAAATTTCAGTAGTGGCAGAAGGAAGAATAATATATATATATACTTTAAAAGGCATGCAACTTATTTTAAGACTCAAGTAATGCAACAGAACTCCATGGTGCATAACCCTCCTTGAACAGTTAATAGCTGTATCAGCAGATCAAAAATATTCCTTTTTATGGAACTGACAGGCTCGTTACTGTGCTCCCAAAAGCACGCCAATGAACCTTATACTGAGTTAGTTACTTCAATTCACATCTTCAAACCCCACTCTTGTCACCTGAACACAAAGTACACCAAAATTCTGAAATATTGTGTATATCAAATATACCTCAGACAATGGACAACGTTCAACATGGTATTCTCGTAATTGAAATCAATCAGTCACAAATCTTTTGAGAACCAAGAGTATGAACATTCATGAATGTGTGGCATTACCTATTCAGGAATGTCAATAAGGTGGATAATGTGAAAGGAGTTACATCACACTGAAATAAATGTACAGAATGGTGAAAAATACTGTATAGTTAAGCCTCATTTTATTATTGTATATTCTTCTCTTTCATTTGTAGGAATGGCAGTGGAAGATGCAGTGTCAGTGAAGCTAATATACGATAAATACAAAAAATTAAAAAAGATACACAGTTAGTGGAACTGTATGCTTTTCCACCTGATACCACAGATGTACAGACACGACTGTGCCTGTAAAATATAATTATTTGTAGCAATAATTTGGTAAATACTGTACTTACAGTTGTCACTGTTAACTTTGGAATTACTACTGTTAAGCATGGACATATTTCTGTAATAATAATTTATATATCTTGAGGGTTGAAGTTTTAATTTACTAGTCTTGTATGTATTATATTCTTTTATATAATCTGACAACTCAGACAATCTTCATTCCTTGGATTGCATTTTCCAGTGACTGAAAAATAATGCAAATCAATTAGAATATATGAAACAAGAAATATACGAAATGTTTGAGATGTAAACAGAATCCAGAATGGTTTTATGGTATAATAATTAATGTGGTCACCTGCAAGTCCCATATAACAAGCTGACCATCCAGCCCACTTGTACTGACTCTAGAGGCTGATCCCTTGCCTCCCTTGTAGAGACACAAGCATGTAATGGCATTTTGATGGATTGTTTCTAATGTGGTGTCATTTGTTTCAATACGGGCCTGCCGGTCAAGACTCTGGAATTTTCGCATAGCACTGCAATCAAAATGGGTGTAACACAGTGACAAAATTTCATTTTATCTTTTCCTGTAGTAATTTAAGTCATAAATACATATTCATAAATGTAGTGATCATTATGTGTTTCATGTTTGTGTCCCAATGAGAAACTATGAATGGTGAATATGAACAAAGGATGGGCAGAGAGGGAAGTTTTGTGATATATTTTTAAGATTTCTCCCCATACCAGAACCTCAGAATATTTCTGTATTACAAAAATGATATACCTGTTGAAATATAGCAGGACAAAACAACTCAGGACAGAAATGAAAATAAATGTATATATGGGCATTCTGAAGACTAGCAATTTGACTTTTTTTTTATAATTAGTTTAGCATTTATACTCACCTCAACCCACCTGCCTCTTTCTTTTGTGAAACATCCAATTTGCAGTTTACGTACAACACTCCATTTTCATTTACAGAATACAACATTGGATAGCAGCTGTGACCCTAAATGAAACAAATCGGCACTAAAATAAAATTTAATAGAGCATTATCTTGTTATGCTTTAAACTAAAATGTCTAATTCTGCACATGTACATCCTCGGATTGCAACAACGAAGGCAAGTCTCCACATGGCAGCTGTTAACATACCTCACAGTTGAAGACTTACAAATTGTCTTGAATTTGAACAAGACACTTCAGCACAACTTAAGCAATAAAACTGATTGATCAGTCTAACAGAAGAACTCTGACTGAGGCAACTGAAAAACAATACACTCGCTTAGTTACAGCTTCTATAAGAAGCACAAACTGCAAACAACAATAACAGCTACAGTAAAACATATTTCTGCTGATTATAGTGTAACAGCTGTCCTTACAATCAATTACAGTCGCCCTGATGACGGAGTCAGTATGACCTCTGAAACGTTGGTTAACATCGACCAAACTACACAGCGCAACAACCCAAAAGACAGAAAGCTTCAATTTCAGTCAAACTTGGTTATAATGTCATCCAAGGGACAGGAGAAATTACATCATTACAAACAAATGTCATACTAACTGATGAAGGGATTAAATCAAATTTCAAGAAGAAATATATAGGATCACTTCATAAAGAACTAAAATTCACATTAAATGTAAATGAGATCTTATTTTCCATATGGTTTGAATTGTGAAATAATGTAAACCAAATTCCAGACACATATAAGCTTTTTTCTTTCCACAATCAATTTTTATATCACAATAACTTTATCCTCAACACTTACCACTTTTCTTTCCTTGCAACTTCAGCCATTCTGTCTGTTTTTGAAGCCTGCTTGTTATTGAAGCTATTGTACTTTATCCATACACTTTTTGAGAGTAATGTAAAAGTAACAAAAACTTTGTGTAATTATGAGGAAAGTAATTTCCTACACAAAAGTTACATGTCATTTAATTTAATTGAAATTTCATTAACTAAATATTATCTACAGCTTAATGGTACCTCCACCTTGTCGTGGTGGTGGGGCTTGAGTACCTCAGTGACCCCAAGAGCTATGCTGGCGGTAGCATAGCTCCTGGTAGGGCCTCCCTAGCCAGATTGGTCGAGGGAGAGAGGTCAGACTAAGACAGGTACCCTGGTCCTCCAGGTTGGGGGTTGGTCGCAAGGCTAACAACCTTGCACCGTAAAAAGGAAGATGTTTCGAAACCTCAATCAAAGCCTCGGACAGACGGACCTAATACAGACTGGAGAGCCATAGAAGAAGAAGGTGGTATCATTGTTATGGAGAAGTAGGGCTTAATGAAACAACAGAAACACTTTTACAAAATTAATCCATTATCACACTGTGTAGATACTCACCACTGCAACCAATGAATTTGGTCCAACCCACACACAGCTTAGGAATGGAAGGAATTCTGTACGCAACTTGTTCACAGCCATCTGACGGGTTGCATCAGCAACAGAAACAGAAGAATCATGTCCCACCCAACATACACGGTTTCCATCTCCAGAGAATGCAACACTATGAACCCAACCACCTAGGGATTGATCACATTAACTTGTAACGCTTTCCATGTACAATATTTGCGGTGCATTATGTTTCAGACTGCAATAAACCTGTAAGTTACAATCATATAACGAAGCATCCTACTACAGAAGGAACCAAAGTGCCTGTATGAAAACTAATCACTAATTTTATTGTTACAGCTCAGTCGGTATAGTGACTGGCTATGGACTGGGCGACCGGGATTTGATCCCCGAAGATTTGATCCGCTAGTCTCTGCGTCTAGACAGGCTCTGCGGCCCACCCAGTCTCCTATCCAATGGGTACCGGGGTCCTTTCCCGGGGGTAAAGCACGGCCGGGGCGTGATGCTGACCACTTACCCCCATCTGGTGCCGAGGGCAAGAATGAATAGGAGCTATACCTTCTCTCCCCCCAAGCGCCTACATGGTGTATAGTGGGATAGCTTTACTTTTTTAGTTCTTTTACAGCAGAATGTGATACACCAAAACTCTCTTTTACTTGTAAAGTTTCGTTTTCAATGTGACACAATGATCAAGTTCTTCATATATCCTTTTAAAGTTTTCTTATTGTGTTTAAATGAAAGATATGTACCGACAGGTGAACCAGTTCATCATGATGTAATTATCTTAATATTCATGAGTAATGTACACAAAATGCGAAACCGATTATAATGCTTACAACAAAGCCTGGAGTTACAATAAAAATTTTTGACTGAAAACAACTCCTAAGCGCAGTAATTTATTGCAGCCATGTTAGGAAACATTGTACTATTCTATTCATTATGTTCTTGTCAACACACTGTAACATTTTCAATTCTGAGATCCTGAATGAACATATTACCAGTGGAAAAGATGGACCTTGCTGTAAGCAGAAGTCTAATATGCATGAAAATTAAAACAAATCATTCACCAGCATAAAGAATGTTGGAAACATATGAAGAATATTGGTACGACTTTTTAAAACAATGTCAACATCTCACCTCCACCCAATGAGTTAGGGAACTCTGCCAATAACTGACCCAAGGACACCTTCATTCCCCAGGGCGATGGTGGAGGCATATCCTCTATATCCTTAATAAACGCTGAGAAAACCCGTACCTGGAGAAATATTAAGTTTTAATGATAATAATTTTATGTTTATCTACACACTTATCTAACATCTACAATCTACATCTATGAAATCACAGTTGCTCATAAAATGCATACACCTAGAAAATATGTTATTTACATCAGTAAGTATATAAAATGGAAAAAGAAAGATGCATATATAGAACCCATTTGAGAATTCTGTACATTAAAATTAAATTCTAGATTTAGGTCTAATATTAATGATAAACACACTGAAAACAATGACAATGTGCAACTTAACCATGTATCAGATAAACTTCTTTACTGGTAACTGTAGTAACAGTAGATTACAAAATACACTGGATGCCTCCGCAGTGATAAAAATCATTTCACCACAAGGGAAATTTCATTGTGTACTCATTCTGTTTATATAGTTTATAGTGATAAAAAATGTACAATGGAAACTGACAGAAATGAAAGAATGTTTTATACCTCATTACAATTTTGCACTCTGCCCTGTAATTAATTTTTGTTTCAGTATGCTCTCATGATAAATGGAAAGTTGATTTATGCCTGTAAGTAAATGGATAACCCAAATTGTAATAATGACAGTTCTTGAAACAAAACAAACCTTAATTTACCTTAAAATCAGCAGAGCCTGCAACAAGCAAGACATTATTTGGATGCCAGTCGATTGAAGTGATTGTTGAGTGAATGGGTTTCTTGATATGTTTTGATACCCACCAATCATTCTCACTTTCAAAATAGCACACCGAGATCAGTCGAGCTCCAGAACCCACAGCAAACTTGTTCTCTGATAAGGAATACATATTAAAGCAAAATGTTAATTTACACAAAATGTATAAAAATGGCAACAAAATTTCCTTGATTTTACATTTGAATAACATAATATGGAGGGAGGGGGGAGAGAGGGAGAGAGAGAGAGAGAGAGAGAGAGAAACCTCACAAGACTGTCTTCAAACTTGACCATGCTCATTTCACTACAACCAAAAAAAAAACAACAACAACATACACACACACACATAAATTTCTTCAGGACTGACAAAGTATGGAAAATAATCTACAATTTTTAGGGCTATTACTTATCTAGGACTCTTAATACAAACACAGCTCATCAACTATAAATTATTGAAGAACTGTTCATCAAAATATAAAAATACACTGATGAAAATGTACAAGGGCTAACAGATGACAAAGCGAGACAGTTTACAGTGCTAATACAATGTCTACGGACATTTACTGCAAAAAGGGCTTCATCTTTCTACAGCTACTGAACATACAAATCTTCCTGTTACTACGTTTTGTCTGTATTAACATAACAAAATTACTTGATTATTTACCACGTGGAGACCACTTTACACAAGTTGCAGCACGATTAATGCGGAGTAGAACCAATGTTGGTTTCCATTTTCCATCATCCCCCTGAGTCCACACATATGCATTACGATCCTAAAATCAGATGACAACCATGTAAAAGTCAGAATGAACACTACTACAGGGATTTATAATAATAATAATAATTATTATTATTATCCACAGAAATTATGAAAGAACTTCACATCCATAGCCATGAGCAATTTTATACATATATAAACAGAGCTATGAATCATTTTGAATTAAACTGTGGTAACAAACTTCTGTAGTATGTTTACTCTATTACATAAAAGTCAACAAATAACACGTTCACTTGGTATGGTTCTACTTACTACAGCACAGGTCACAATCCGATTAGTCAATGGTCCCCAGTCAATGCCCGTAACACGTAAATCATGCTGGTTAAGAACATCTACAAGTTTCCAGTCACCATCAGCTCGCTGATATATATGAACTTCATGATTATTGGGTGATAAAGCAACCTCTAAAAAGAAACAAAACAAACATACAAATGCTAAAATTAATGATTTATAAATGTGACATTAAAATTAAATTGCGAGCTATTTTGAAAAATCAGTGATGGGAATCAACCCTGGTCAAAATAATTCTAAAATGAAGGATCATTGCAATACTGTGAGATTTCATTTTCTGTATAATTAAAACATTGGTGAGAAGGAGGACACTTCTTTTTACAGAAAACATTCAATGAAGCTAATAAACAGCACCTGCTTAATGTTGGTAACTGTCACTTACGAGTTCGATCTCTGTTCCATGCATGACAGGTGATTGGGTTCACACCAAAGCTATGTGTCTCTGCCATTCTACTACTCTGAAAATCGAAAATGTTAATTATGTTAAGTTTAATGACGTTTCAGAGGTCCTTGCTGCCTCCATGATCAGGGCAACTGAAAAATCGGCAAACTTCTACCAGACTACATGGCACAACAACCCAGAAGACAGCCATCTTCAGACTCACCACCGTGAAAACTTCAAATCCTACAAACATCCAAATGAATGAGCTCCTTCAAAGAGAAGGCAGGAAAAACCCATCGATAAAATAAACAGTGATTTTATAAACAGTCGTGTTATAAACTTGTTGTAAGCTCATTCAAGAATTATTTCCTAGGCACAAAACCTCAACAGAAGAGGTAACACACTAGATGACCAGAACAATCACTAGAACCTTTCCAGTTAGAACCCTACTCCTACTCAGCAGTAGAATTTACTTAAAACAGAAATTATTAAATATTGTAATATTTATGCACATTGCTGTAACACCTATGTATTCACTTCTGTTACTTTATTTGTATAGAGTGTTGATATTCGAATTACATGTTTCACATCCTCGGCTTGCACTTCATGCTATGGAATGTAAATAACTATTGTTCCATTCTGTTCTATGCACTTTACATCGAACGACCAAATTTGAAAATAATTGCAAAAAAGGTTTACCTTGTTAATATCTGAAAGTCGGTGACTTAGTAGGTCTATATGAATTTTCCTTTATCTCCTTTTCTGTTGCCCAACTTCCTGTATGAAGTGTATTATAACGGAACAGGATCTCAGAGTAGGTACGATACAAAAATATAACCTCTTTGTATGTGCTTCATTAATACGACATCTCTGTTCGGTAAATTTTGAATTGACATATTGGCTACATCACTACCCGCCACAAAATTGAAAAGCAGACCACCAACTTGACAATTTACAACCATAAACAGAGCGTCGGTGTCAATACACGTTTGTGTTTGCTTTTGAGGCATCGGATTTGAATTGAACATAGCGGTAAGAGTTATTTCTGCCGTATTACAGTGAAATGACAACGTTGGAGGATAAATTGTTGGGAGAAACAGCCCATTGTTACTGCAGCAGTAGTGAGAGCGAAGGGGAGAAATCCGATGATGATAGTGGTAAAGAAGTGCAAACCCCTCCAGTGATAAAAGAAGCAGGATCGATTCCTCAACCAGATCCTTATAAATGGGAAGGATCCTCCACAAACACTGGCCCTAAAGGTGTAATGAAAGATTGGCAGAGGTTCAAACAACTGGAAACTGAAAAAAGAGCTGAGCAGGAAAAAGAAAAGCAAGCTCTGATTCAAAAGCTGTCTCTGACTTGTAAATCAGCACTGGAAGAAGAGAGGGAGAAAAATGTAGATCCTGAGATGGCAGAATTATTATCAGATGAGTTCTTACTGCAGTTTCAAAAACAGAGAATGGAAGAGATGATGTCTAAGTTGGCTACTCTTCCAGCATTTGGAAAAGTTTTCAGTCTTAAAGATGGACAAGAATTCCTGGATGCAATTGACAAAGAAGATAAAGCTGTCACAATTGTAGTACATATATATGAAGAAAATATACCAGGTTGTGAAGCAATGAATGGTAGCCTTATTTCTTTGAGTCAGGATTATCAGCAAGTAAAATTCTGCAAGATGATTGGATCAGTTGCAGGAATAAGTAAACGTTTTAAACTAAGTGGAGTACCAGCTCTTCTGGTCTACAAGGCAGGTCAGTTAGTTGGAAACTTTGTTCGTGTCAGTGAGGAATTAGGTGATGACTTTTTTTCTGAAGATGTGGAAAGTTTCCTGTTGGAACATGGCATTCTGCCAGACAAAACTTGTGTGCCATCAATTGTTAAGTCACAGAATGATGCTGATGATAGTGATCTTAGCCTTGAATGACAGTATTAATTGGTATGAAGACATGTTGGCATAACATTTTGAATGTTATCTTTAATATAGAAATGATTATATCCTTTGCCATTGAGGTCTTCAGCTGCCTTCTTGTTAAACTAGCCTTTATTAATACATGTGGCTATCTTGTCAAACTGACAGTGAAATGATGTAATTGAAGTGGTTGCAAGATGGCTCACATATTGTTAATTGATCCCTTTTTAAATTGTATGTTTAGTGATTCAGACCAGGTACATTCATATCGGTTCCTACATAGATGCATTTGCAGCCATTCTGGGATAATGCATGTGCAAGTTACCTGCATCTGTATTCTTTCCTGCTTTTAATCCAGTTTTTAGTATTGCTGCAATGGCTGTGATTATAGCTTGGCAGTACTGTCACTTCAGGTTGTAGTTTGGGGATCTTAGGGAAACAGGGTTTGAGGATGTGAATCGGATTCATCTGGCTGAGAACGGGGGCAGCCTGTTATCAACACAGTAATAATGAACCTTCAGAATTTCTTGACTAGCTGAGCATACTATCAGCTTTTAAGGACTTTGCTTCATGGAATTAGTTAAATTGCTCTTTCATATTGTGTGTTATGCTGAATAAAGCAGTGAACCATGTAATAAGTACTAGAAAGTGGCATCCATTGATGTCTTTCTCAGGCAATATAAGCTGCATACTGGATGTGCATAATTGCAATATTTCTGATGCCCATTTCAGTCTTTAGGACTGATGTGGTGCAGTTAATAACCCAGGAAGACGTGATTTAAATACTAAATTGTATGTTTTTAACATGGAAGTATTTTAGTATTGAACTGCAGATTTCATTCTTCTCTTATGTATTGTGTGTAGAACACAATTATAATTAGATTTTTCACCATAATTATTTGTTGTTACTTGTGATTTATGAATGAATATGAGTGCAGGTCTTGACATATCTGCCACAGAGCTTATGTATATCTTAGGAGTCAATTTTATACCAGTAGTATTCAGATCAAGATGTAAGAATGTTTTGATATAAAAGGACTAGGTACAGTGCTGACCTAGTGCTCAGATATGCAGTTTTTCAGGAGCAAATGTTTTTATAATAATAATAATTTAAAATGACTTATGTATAAATTGGATAACCTCTCTTTATTAAGCTATGTGAATTTTTAAGAGCTTGTGCCAAATCAATCTGCCATGATGCAGTCCCCCATTATTACATCAACACTGTTGCTGTATTGTTACTGTGTTCTTAGCCACAGAGCTGTTAACATTACCTAGCAGTCCAAATGCTTGGAAATTCCTTCTCCAACATGTTCTGAAGGAATCACTGTGCTAATGTCTGCCCACAATGCATTGTTGCCAATTCCAGACAGACCTTGAGGAAGTTTGATTGTGCATATAATATGTTTAAAGGGCATTTCCATTCAGGATCTAGATACAGAGTAACTGTGTAGGTAGGTATGTTTGTTTTACTTCCCAGGCTTGCCTGTCACTCCCCATGTCTTTTCTTATGTAGTTTTAGTTGGCCCATGCTATAACATACATTCAGTTTGTTCTTAACTGCTCTAGGTATAAGGGTAATGTCATTGTGTGTAGTTATCTTTGGTTGGAATTTGATACTTGTGTGACCAGTCCAATGTAACAGTTTTGTTTCTATTTGGGAAACAACACACAAGTATATATGTCCAGTGTGTCCATTTCTGAGATTTGACATTGAACTCATGCCTTATTAAAATATAAATATTTGCTATTAATTTCAATATGCATTTATTCAGATTCTTATTCTTGTTTTATAAGTAGTGAATTTTCTATAGGTGTCATTTATAATAATAGTTTTTGTTATATTCATACATCATTGACTGTATTATTGTTGTGCTGAAGATTAGTTGACTGAACAGTTATTTTGAAAGATAGTGGATTCTGGGACCAATTCTGTGTGACGTGAAGGGCACAAATTAATTCACTTAATTGAGATTCATGTGGTACACTCACACCAAGATGAACAAAATTCTACTCTGGTTATTCCAGAAAGTGTATATAATCTGGGAAATAAAGACTATACACAAATTAAATTAAACACTGAAATTCAATTCCTGGTGTGTCAGTTGAATAATAGCTGACTTTATAGATGTGTAGATGTTTCCACTCAAAATAAAAACAAACAGGAAAATAACATAAAATTAGGATTTTAAAAATGTATGAAGTCTTTATAGTAATGTAAGTTGTCTCCACCCAGTGATATTTGTTATAATTCAAAGGGTATATATACTGTAATGTTTTGCTGAATAATGATGTAAAGAGTTAAACAGAATAAAATTCTGAAATTTAAGGGCAATGGTTTAACAGTACAGGCATTGTTAGCCAGCTAGTTGAGCCTTGTGCTTGCAGTTAATGCCTGCCTGAATGGCTGGCTAACAGTGCATTTAACTGATCATTTCTGCTGTGTTCCAGTCTATGGAGTGCCACTGACCCATAAAAGTAAGACATTTTATTTTTAGTTTTTCAAAGTATTAGCTGTATCACCATGGTTGGCATGAACAATGACCCTGATATTTAAGGTGATTTGCTATGGGCTGGATGACTTAAGGTTTAATTGCCATTAGGTGAAGATTCTTTTAGGTTTATCACAATGTCCAGACTGGCTTGAGCCTACTGTCTTCCATCTAGTTCTATTGGTTGTTCTGTCCCCTGGGTAAATGTCAAGAGTCTGAAGCTGACCACTTACCCCACTCTAATGCTGAGATCCAGAATTTGTCTCCTTTTATTCCTTAGATACCCAGATAACTTACTTTCTTCAACTAAAGTTGAAGTGTGTGTAAATTCATAATAGATTTTTTAACTTTCAGTTGCAAACATCAAAAAATATACAGAAGTTGCCACTTCTAATTTAGGTATACTCAGTAAATTGTACCAGAATTCATATAATTGTATTGGCACTTTTACTTTGTAAAGACTTTACTTCCAACCACTCCTGTGTACACCAATTTTAACTGTAATTTAAATTTATAACATTTACTTCTATAATGTCCAATTCATGAAGTTAAAATTAAATCTATCCATATTTGAAGATTTCTGGGTTGTTGCGCCATGTAATATGGTAGATGTTTACCAACGTTTCAGAGGTCATACTGCCTCCTGTCCAGGTAGTGTCCTCTCCCTGGGCATCTAAGAAGACAGCAGCTCTCCTAATTTTGTAGCTACCAAATGCTGAAGCTGGAGTCTGAGCAATGCAACTGTCATAACAGTCTGCCATTTTCACTGCCAACATTTCATTTCATGTAGGACTTACGAGGGTTCTTCAGTTCTGGCAGTAGTAAAACCTAACCAGTAATTGGGAAACCCCAATTTTGCCAGAGACAATGTCAGTTCACCAGTTTAAAGTCATCAAGATCACAACCCACTGTCTTGTGCTGGGCTTGAAGCATGACTTGAACTATCTTCTCCAAGAGCAACTCTCAAGTCTGGTGAAGTCCTGGCCCAAATGTGAGCTAATGAGCAATGCTTAGAGCATTTCCTTGATAACACTGAATTATCACAAGCTTGGAAACTTTTGCAGCAGAGCGTGCTGCAGGAGTAGTGAAGGTCAAATAGGATTCCAGGTAATATGACATGATCAAGATGCCCTTGAGCAAGGTGTTTGGCCAATGAAGTCTAAACTGTAGCGTCATGTCAGTAATGTTCTTGTTCACACCAGGAATGGTCATGTCATGACATGACAATAACAACTGTCATCTTGATGATGGAGGTAGTAAGGATAGTGGCAGCCATGATGTGGTGGCAGCAGTGCTGGCAGTAACTGTAATAATAGTGCCTGCAGTTAAGGTACTTGCAGTGATAACAGTTTGTCATGTTGGTGGTGCTGACCGTGAAAGGAGTAATGATGACTGCGAGATGGTGATTGCAGTGGCAGGAATAACGCTGCTTTGGTCATTAAGTGGGTAGTGGTGGTGGTGGTTTTGGAAAAGGAGACAGTAACAGCGAGATTAGGGGTTGTTTTGTGTGCTGATGGTCATGATGGATGGATGATGACTCTTCTTTTTGTGTGTAACTGCCTACAAGGATGTGGGTGCAGATTTTCTGTAAATCTGTTCAGGATGCAACTTCTGGGAAAGTTACCTTCTCTCATGTGTGTAATAACATCTCAGAGAAGAAGATACACAAGTTTACTTTTAGTGACATGTTCGTATACCACTTGTTCTATATAGAATACTTTGGACTTACACGTACCCAGCAACCATACAGACCTTTGACAAAAGGTTCATCATTCTGCATCTGTACACTGGCTTTACCATGGTTTTAATGTGCAAGATCTTAACAGTTTCAACAGTATATAAAGTAAAATCACTTGCTGAAATAGAAAAAAAATTATATGTTATTAAATCCATCTTATTGCTTTCACAGTAAATGATGGTTGGACTTCATTACATCTTACATACACTATAAAAGAGTCTTTATCTGTATTTTGATCAAAATAAAATCATTTACATAATGAAGCACTACTAACTTTCACCTTGAAAAGTAGTAAGCATTATGTTACCAAAATTATGTATTAGTAATAATAATTATACTAATGATTATTTACATGTTATCATTACTGGCAATAAATTGCAATCGTGAACCACATGTCAACCATTTTTCCTATTACTGTAATTCTCCATGTATAATATTGAGCTGCATGGTAACTTGAAATGTTACAATTTTCGTTTTCTGTTATTTAGGAAGATAGAGTAATATCATGTCTTCAACATCCATACACTGTAACACAGACAAAAAGACTACACAAGTACACACACATGAAAACACTTAGATCCTTACTTCAGTATTCTGAGATTGATCAGCTTAATTGTGCTTACATCAGGTTAAGTTCAGATGGTATTCCAAACTTATTAAATGCATATTTAGTGCAGGTACATTAATCATACTGTTAAAGCATAATTTCTATATATATATAAGTTTCAGTGACAAATAATTACATGCACCATTTGTAAGAATTAAAATACACATACCTGAGTCCCATGTGTGATCCTCCTTAGGACATTTTTAATGTAGGTCCCATGAAAATTATACTGTTGTGGACTAATGGAATGAGAATGCACCAAACTGACCGAAACGTAGTCTGGTAATAGATACCAACAAATAATGAAAAATGTCTTTTGTATCGGTTAATAACAACAGTTTGACAGGTGTGTATATATACCAGTAACAACTAGAAAGTATAGTGTTTTGAGATTAAAGTTTTCTCCAATTTTCATAAAGATTTCTGTAAATCTTGTATGGGAAGCTGTGCACAAAGTCAGAGCAAGAAAATTTATTCCTGACATTAAATATGGACATATCTGATATAATTTCTTCTGAAAGGAAGCAATTTTTCAGTTTAATCTCCTTCTTACAAATACCTTGAATGATTAGTAAATATTTATAACTGAAGACTATATTAGAATTGTGAAACTATACTTCGGTATGTTTAAAATATATAGTATCAAAAGTATGTTTTATTCTGACCTGTTTTATACTTGATTATCACTTGGAGCCACATCTGTTCTTAACACTGGGTTAGAAAATACGACAAATATGCCGGGCTGATCAACCTCAAACAGCACAGTAAACCCATTACATAAAAAACTGTACAGAAAACTTCCTGGACTCTGCCTCATTTTGATATGGACACTTGCAATCTTCTGATACTTGCATTCAGTCATATCTGATATGTACTCTATTCCTAACTTGTTTCACATATCTCCACGTGAAATATCAAATCAAACCACAAAATCAATTACAAGATACTACTGCATCACACTAGATCTGAAATGCATGTAACTTCCAAACTACAACACAACACAAGAAGATTGTGCAACTGACATTTTCTTTCTTAATTGGAAGCAAGTGGTAGCAAATACCTTTTACACAGTACCTTCTTTTTTCATGTAAAAAGCAAGAAGCAAATAATTTATGTGATCCTATTTTTCAATGATATTCCTGGAAACGTACAAAAAGACATTCCTGAAACGTATAAAATACAGTACAGCAAAGGCACAAAAATCCCACATATTTTTGTCTTATTGTTCCTTATATAAAACATTTGATGTAGCAGAGAGATATAAATGAAAAATACTAAGAAATGTACCTTTTATAGTCCCAAGGTTCATATAATCAGCCAAAGGACACAACTGGAGAAAGGCTACACCATTTAGCTGAGTACACAAGAGGAAATGAAAGGGTTGACTGATTGGGTGAACATCCACGTAAACATGAAACATTCCAAATATACATATCTTTAATGGTTTGGTACCACCACCATTAAGCAAAACTGAGCTTCTCCATTTAATACACTAAAAGTGTTCATGAAAAAGTGTAAAATTACTTCATAATTTGCAACTTGTAATGCTATGTATTGAGACCTATTTGGAATCAGTTGATCTGGTTAAGATTAAACTACTGAATGTATTTGTATAATTTTCCCACCTTTATAGTAAATTTCCCCTCAACCTGTTTACACATATGACCAAGAATCCCTTCCCCTTATCAACAAAGTACACAATTTGTGATGATAATACTACATTAAGACTAAACAAAGTGGAAATCTTATGGTTCCAGCGGAAACTGCATACTTACAACGTTATCTTCTCAATTTAAGGACCTGATCACATTTTAAGTCTGAGAGATGATACTGAGCATGTAGCGAATAAAACAGAAGTCAATATGATTACAAGAAAATGTAATTATTTTACAGAGATCATTGCTAATGACAAAAAGCACTGTTAATTTTCGTTGCAGACTTGTACACTTTAATCTCTCTACAGAGGGCATGATTGGGATTAAATAGTATTAACTCTGTGACTCAGTATTGCCACCAATTTTGAGTAAATATGAGGCAAAACTCTGAAGGTGAAGATTTCTATAATTATGAAGCCAATTATTATTATAGGACTCATGTCCCTCTTCTACATCAAGGATTACTGTTCTGCAAAGACAATTGGTACACCTCACCACCTGTTAGTGGTCAAAACAAACATCTTTCCTACTAAAATAACAAACTTCTTGCATGTAAGATTTGAGGTTTTCACAGTGGCAAGTATGAAGATTTCTGTCTTCTGGGTTGTTGCGCTGTGTAGTCTGGTCGATGTTAACCAATGTTTCAGAGGTAATACTGCCTCCATCATCAGGGCGATGAATATCCCTGATGACAGAGGCAGTATGACCTCTGAAATGTTGGTTAACATTGACCAGACTACACAGCGCAACAACCCAGAAGACAGAAATCTTAAAACTTCTTGCACATTATCCATCCTAATTTGATGAAAAACACAACATCTTGGAGACTGGAATCTGTTGGGCTCAATCTATACATATATCAACTGGGTCCAACAAAGTAAGCTTTGATCTGAAGACAGAGACAGATTCCAGTCTCTAAAAAGCTTTAGTTTTAAGAAAATTAGGTGGATGGATAACGTCCAAGTTTGTCTTTTTCGTGCTACACCATCATCACAAATCTTCATAATTAATTTTTGTTCTGTAAGACTGAACAGACTTGGCCATGTTGCAAGAATGGAAGGAAACAGAGTAACTAGAAGAGTGATGGAATGGAGACCGATGAGAAGAAGGTTGAGAGGGAGAACACGGAAATGATGGATAGATGACGTGGAGGAGGATGTGAGGACGATGGGAGTGAGGGGATGGAGAAGAATTGTGAATGATAGGACAGAATGGAAAAAACTCATCGAACAAGCTAAGACCCACATAGGGTTATAACGCTACAAAAGACGAAGAAGAAGAAGACTGAACACAAGATGTCCATGATCTCATGACTATGAAGTATGAGGCAGTGACTAAATATATGCAAATTTGAGTTGTTCTAAAACAGAAAAGGTGATGCTGATCACAGGGGCCAAACGAGTAGCACCGTGTCCTCTAATAAATAGTGAGTATGTAAAGACATATAAAAATATACTAATCTATTTGATATGATTTCATTCACTGCCTGTGTTCTTCACAAGATGATTCCAAGATGAAATACACCAGTTTAAACTGATAGCGGCAGAGCAAGAGTAACAATGCCAAAAGACCCAAGAAGATGACATGCATGGGTGACACACTTGTTAAATTACACGGGTCAGACACCGACCCAGTCTTCTACGCATCGCAGAATTTATCCTTTATATTAATTTCATTCCCACTGATATTACAATGAATATGAAGTGTTTTGTATAACAGTTCAATATAAAGATTACGTAAATGAGTCTTTGTGGCAAGTGACCATTGAAATCATCGATGTTTTATCCAAAACAGCTTTCTTGAAAAATCCTCTTATCACATGTCAAATAGCCTAGTCCGTAAGTAAAGATAGCAGCTGAATTACCTAATATATGAGTTAGATCGTAGTAGAAGCATGAAGTGTACTTATAAAACATTTATAGCTGCCTACGTGCCTTGCTATTCATAATAATGTAAGAAAGACCATGACAACTAACAAAGGAGTTAAAGAATTCATAAATTTAATATGTGATTTTTAAAGCCCAGTGGGAATTGCATGAACCTCCTACTTTACCAATCAATATAGTATTTTGTATTTACAGGTTTCATATTCTCAGAATAAACAGCGATTATTTCCTTAAACAGTATCAACCCACTGTTCTTTGTAATGGTGAAGTATAGGGTTCTCTTTGAGGTATGGACTGAATTCTTAAATGTTATTTAGATGAGCTTCAGCTTCAGAGAGTTAAATGAGGATATCACTGTTGCTGATACAATGACGCAGTTCTCCAGACTTTTAAAACAGTGGTGTTACCAAATTAGATATGTGTCTGTATGATTCTTCACTCATTGTAGTCACTCATAAACAGAAAGCTAACAACATTATGCATACAGACCCAGGCGATGGATCTTGGCCGACAGAAAGTTATGCAGGATGAATACCAGAGGTTTTGGGCAGCATTCCAAGTCCAGCTCCTGTAAACAATTATCCAACTTCACTGTACACAAGAACTAAAACATATGACAGAACAAACTGAGAATGGTTCAAATGAAATTTAAAAATATCAAATGAACTGTTTTGTTCTTAAGTGAAAAAACTAAATCTAACAACATAGACTCACCATCTCTCCTTCCTCACTGCCAAAGTCAAGCCAGAGCAATCGGGCCCCATCATCAGCAGATACACGCAGCCGTTCAAACGGGAACTTCCATAACATTCTAGGCTCACGCCTCGTTAAGGTGTTCAGGAACTCCATCAGTGTAAATCCATTTTCATAGTGGAGTATCAGCTGTGCTGGCTGCCCCTGCCATATGCAACCTGCCCAGAAAGTACCTTAAAACTACTACTATACTTCGCTTAGAATGATGCAAGTGAACTTTAATTAACTTATGCAGAATAATCAATCTATAAATTATGTGCAGCATTCATGCAGCAACAAATAATTTGGAATCTAACAGTGTTTGTTTTACCTATATAAAACAGTAATATCATCCAATCACAGACCATACACTTTACACAGATATCAGTCACAACTGACGTACAACTAAAGCGGCCATCCACGTACGAGTCCGGCTCGGCTCGGGTTCCATCGAGCCAAACTCGTTTGTGGGTGTGGTGTCACGAGCCGAGTCTGCTACGCGTGTGTGGTGAAATATATCCGAGCTTGGCTCACGAGTCAAGCTCGCCGAGCCAGACTCGTACGTGGATGGGCCACTTAAAACATGATAACTGAGACAGGACTAAACCCAAGCCAAAATTGTTATTTATATCTGCCCTCCAAAGTTGAAATGAAAACTTCTTTATGTACGTTCTTGCGGAAAACTCACGGCAGACAAGTTCCCTCTGGGCTTGGGCACAGTTGTGACTGCCCTGTACTAGGGCTCGTGCCCAGTTTGCAAGGTCACGGTGCGTCTCAGCTCGCAGGTGGTGAGTCACTACTCCCTCGGGTGTTCCGCAGCGTACACTGAAAGTTATCATGTCTGTTTGTCGGCTTGAGCTCACCAACCTACGACAATGGACACTTATCATAATACTATAACACACTACCAGATATTAATACGTACGTGTGCGTAACAAGTTGTTTACATTTCAGATTCTATGCCAAATAATCCTCTGATTAGTTTGAAACACGTTACGGAAAGTAACTATTTTAATATACAAGACACGTGTACGGTTATTCTTATACTGTTATTAGTTCTAATACACAACAGGGTGTAACCAAAGTAGTACACATCAGCACCTAAACTGCACTGTAAGTGGCTCTGTAATGAAATGCTACGTTACTCCAACCTTGTGGACAGCAGTGGACATGTGTCAACAGGGGCGCCCCAAGCTTCAGGACTCCAAGGGGCTGATTCATATAACCTGAACTCCCTCTCTGTGACAGCTGCAAAAACTGACTGCCAACGTTCAGGATCGTCGCTGCTTTCTGAGCTCACCCGTCCATTCTGCAAAATTATAACCTAATAAAGGCTACGACGCAGTTCACAAACAGTGAGTGGGTACAGAATCAACTGCCGACACTTTCATAATCTGGGGCTTTTGCGTTGAAAGAATACGTAGATGGGACAAGGATGGACGAGGGGTAGCAAGGCATCACTTTGTTTCAATTCTTATATATTATTTTCTGGCTTCCCTAAAATTCTACAATGTTAAAATCGCACACATGACACTTTTGGTCCCAACCTACATCTGGTTCTCCATCACATATACCAACAAGAATCCACGTGAAGTTGAACGTTTATCATACGTGGTAACATGACAACACTAAACTAAATAATGCAATAAATTTTTCATGTGTGCAGGTGATCAAAGTGTAATTAATAGTGATCTGTTGTTACACAGCAGCAAAAACATACCACAGCTCCTCCACTTCAATCAATTATTATAAATTTCCCCAACGGCTAGTAGTTTCAGACTACTCCACCCACTGCCTAGCTGATACATACAGAACGGTCATGAGATAAGAAGTCAAACACACGCACGCACATGATCCGCTGTCATTACGGTTATTGTCTTATGTCTAGTTGGTATTAATTTTTAAGTTAAGTACTTTAGGTTAGATGGTTTTGTAATCTTATGAGTTGTTTTATTTTGAGTGTGATGTGTTGTTTTGTTGTGTCTTATTGTTTTGTTGTGTCTCATTGTTTTGTTGTGTCTCATTGTTTTGTTGTGTCTCATTGTTTTGTTGTGTCTCATTGTTTTGTTGTGTCTCATTGTTTTGTTGTGTCTCATTGTTTTGTTGTGTCTCATTGTTTTGTTGTGTCTCATTGTTTTGTTGTGTCTCATTGTTTTGTTGTGTCTCATTGTTTTGTTGTGTCTCATTGTTTTGTTGTGTCTCATTGTTTTGTTGTGTCTCATTGTTTTGTTGTGTCTCATTGTTTTGTTGTGTCTTATGTTTTTTGTGTCTTATTGTTTTGTTGTGTCTTATTGTAGGATCACTGCCACCGGGTAATTAGATGTGTCTTGAACTGGGTGTTCACCCTGATGATGGAGGCAATACGCCCCTCTGAAGCGTTAGTCAATATCTACCGGACTACATGGCACAACATCCCATTAGACAATCTATTTCATCCTTAATTCTACAGCTCATATAAATCAAGACAAGAACTCACTTCTCTGGTGGCAGGTTTCCTTGCAAGCCAGCCTATGTCCTGCAGTTCTCCCAAAACAGCTCCGAGTGCTCTATTGGCTTCCTGCAATGCTTGAAGATTAAGCGCATTCAGTGCTGAATGGAGGGTGTTAAACCACGCAGCTGCCTCGTTGGGATCTGAAGCCCGTAGTACACAACTGTGGACTCCATCTGGGGAATGCAGCTCTAGTGTTCGGTTTTCTGTTGAAAGGACATCGAAACTAGCATAAAATTCGAAGACACACGTCTTCCAAGATGTCGTGTGCCTTAACATGTTAATTCTAAATCTACTACGACGCCCCGATATTTTGTTTCAGTGGTCAAAGTTTTCATTAAAAATCTTTACTTTGGGAACACTGTGGCGATAATAATAATCTCTTTCGGAACAAGTGACTGCTTACATATCGTGTACTTGTGAACATCTTGCCGACAGCCCCAGGAGTACATAGGCTACTGTTTCTATGACAACCACCACGACGCTGTTGTTAATGATCGCTTCGGGTTTGTTTCGCTCTGCATCACACACCTCCTGATTTACACGATCAAATTTTATAACCTTGTTGTTATTGACAGAAATTGAAAGTTTTATGCAGATTAATAATAAAAGCGAAATGTTCAAGCAGAACGAACCTAGTAGACTGAGATGAGCTGGAAGGAATAAAATAATGGAAGGGTACCAATCATTCTGGCCATGAAACAGACCTGAATGTATTAGTTTTAGAAAACTACAAAAATTAATATGTACAAGATACAAATCGATCCATAAGCAAATAACTGTTTTAAACACTGAAATCCAGAAACAGAATCCAAGATAAAGACGACGACGACATCGGCGTCAAAAAGAGTAACTAAAAAATGAACATTTTGAATTTTCGTGCTGAAGGCCCCGTCACGGTTTAAACCTTTTTGCTTTCACACAAATCACTTTACACACACTTTACACTATCGTGACATGTCTGTTTTCGGTGCTAGACTAAACGTTTCTCCTAGCATCATCATGTCTGACGCTTGCACTTATGTTACTATTAAATGCTATATAAATGTTTCTCCCACTAAAATCTTTAAAATATATAATAATATACACAATTTCATTTGTGGGCAATAGTTAAGTTAATACCAGTGGCGAGTTTCGCATTTTGTTTATTCTGGAGACGATGTGTTTGGTATTCTGTTGTGATATTCGCGCCACGTCTTCTATGGTGTGATATGGAATGGCGGTGAACACACGGTGATGCTAGGCTGCAGAATGAATAACATGAACGCTGAATCGGAAGTTAAACTGCCAGACTTCATAACGGAATATAACAAAACACACGAGAGACCTAACCTATTACAGAAAAAAAAGCCCGAACTCTTTTGAGTGTGTGAGGAAAACCACGAAACAACTCAAAACAGCTGACCTCAAAGTCTATAATGAACCTATAAACTCCCAGAATTATCTTACACACTTTTATGTCACAAATGAAACCGCACGTGTCAGTCAAGCTTCAAACTAAAATTTTTCTCTTGAATTTGTAGATGCTGTGAGGGTAGAAGTGAAATGAAACTCCGTTACCATCTTTTGCCAATGGTAACTATATGTACCATCTGCTTAAACATCCTATAATTAAAGACTTCTGTCCACAAAGTCTGTTTACGAGTTTCGTATGGTTCTCAGAATGGGAGATCGCCCTGAAGATGGAGACAGCAAAGACCTCTGAAACGTCGGTAAACTTCTACCAGAGTACACAGCGCAACAACCCTGAAGACAGCAGTCTTCATACACACTGGTGTTCTACAAGTCAGGAAGCAAAGCGTCACTCACGGACCACTAACATCATATTCCGATGGCGTGTAAAATCACCTGCAGACTAATGTCGTCCCACGGGGCGTATCTAATGGCTTTATTAGTTCTCATTCTTTCCTCCACCAATAGCAGCCCCTGTGTCCACACAAGAGTAAGTCTTTTGCTGCCGGCTGTTTCAGCGGGATCTCCTTCGACTGCTGCAACCCGATTACTCCTTGCGCAGGAAGAAACGAGGGCGAAAACACACGGCTGTAGACTGGGTGTTGCTTTACGACGCTCCGCAAGGCAGAACCACAATATTATTATCAAAATCTGCCTGCAGAACCACACCAAATGCTTTTACGTAGCTTTAATGCAACGCCGAGTTCATATCTTCTCTCGATCTGAGATCTCACTGCCGTCATATCATTAAACAACGCTGTATATTTAAGACGTGTGTGGCGCTAATTAATGTGAGGCAATTAGCGAGTGAAAAGGGAAGGATGAGGAAACAAACGGATTCTTCACAATTAAGTTAATTTTTGGTAGCAATGTGCACACTAAAGAAAATAAAGACATACCATTCAACTCTGTTAAGTATAAGCTATGAGTCGCTCAGCTGGTCAAGAAAGCACGGAAAACATTAGTCATATTCCACTGACTCTGAGCCGAGATTTGAACACGTGGCTTCCAGAAAATGAAGAAGCAGGGAACTCGTAGGATCAACATGAAAAGCAAAAAAAATAAAATATTTATTTACGACATGTCAGCAAGCTGCTGAAGAGACAAGGTGGTGTATTTTGGGGCCGTTTACATACGGACGCTTGAATCCAAACGGCACAAGCTAAAATTTAACAGAAACGCTATCAAGTTCAGTCAGAAAACTGATATTCCCAATTCACCCAGGCTATCAATACAAGAGAATTCCCGACTGGCTTCATCGCATCATCACGCTGATTGCATTGGCCTGGAAAACTTCGTCCCCCAAACGCCTCATGATGACACGGACAGGCAATCCTCTCGGAACCACGTATTTTCCTACAGCCGGGTTACAAGATGACTCAAGGCGAATCACAGTAATTCGCCTGCTTGAGTGAGAATACGCAGTGACCAGATAAAAGCGTACGCATATTAACATCACTGAATGAAATTCTGTGAATATTATACGCGACTAAGGGGATTTTAATAATTTATTGGTTTATTTAACGACGTTATATAAATCAAGTCCAAAATGCTACAGACCACAATTTTTTTTAGTGTTCTGTCTGACGACAGGTCCATATAAACAGGATCCTTCCATCCTTTTCTCGGACTGGGACCTCTTCATATACGTTCTTGGCAGATGATCCAGAAGTGGTTTGCCATTGCCTTCTTCTGTGTGTGAATGGAGTAATTGTTGGGATGCCACGGAGAAACCGGGGAAGCCCCCGGAGGAAAACTCCGTGTTGCCTAGACCACGGCCTTGCCCAACACAAGTTATAAATTCGGGCGCCGCCGGGAATCGAACCCGAGACCCCAGGATTACAAGGCGAGCGTTCTAACCGCTAGACCACCGTGGCTCTACAGACCACAATATAGAAACGAAAATCTGTACTATTTTTTAAGATATGGAACAAATTACACAGCTTTGTGGAAATAACATAAATTACAAATATTTGAAAACAAAGTGCTCAAACCAGATCCCTGCAAGATGAAGTAAGTGAGCACTCCATCTGTTGCTCACGCTAAGAATGTGTGGAGCTATGCCTCCACTCCCTATACGTTTGCATGGCATAATGTAAAGTTAAGCGCCAGGGGAAAATTTATCATTACTAGCAACTTCGTGACTTAAAAATATAAAAAATATTAACAGGATAGTTAGAAGTATTAGAATGTGATGCGTTGGTCACGGGTTGTTGCTACGATGTCAGAAAAGTAATAATCGCAAAATTTTAGTGAAGAAATCTTGAAGGTCGAGTAGGAGATGGTTTTTGGAAACAACTGGGGATAGTGCATAATGACTGGCTCTGATATTAGGATCTTACAGTTTTGTCTACTGCGACGCCACTGATCCATCCTTGGTCAAGACATTAACTGAAGCAGTCCTTACATTGTACAGTACTTCACAGAAACAACCGTCAAAAGTAATTACGAGCAAAATATGCTTGTAAAATCTCTGGAACAAGTCAGAATAATCGTTCCACTCGAAATAAACGCAATTAATTTGAGCGTAGAAAGCGCTCCTGCAGTATGAACGGCCGGTGGACAGGGTTGGGGAGCGCATCGCCTTCCCACTGTCACGACCTGCTGCCTTCGCCTTCGCCTAGAACGAAAGGCTCTATTGATCTCAGACGACACCCGAAACGTGGCAATACATTATCTCCAACACAACCCCACACACGGCACTGATATCACTGGCTTCGAGGTTGTTCTTACTTGCAGCAGACCCATGAGTTACTGAATCCCCACTCTACCCTAAACCACTCTTCATCTATTCCCACAGATAGGGTAATGTCATAGTGCACGTCCGTAACAGTTCTTGCACATCTAACCTGAAGATGTTGAAATATCACTACAGAATTTGTGGACTGCATTATGATGTTATGACGCCGTGTAGCCTTGTAGCGAAGTAACCGCTTTTCGGAGTCACAATCTACAGACCACAATCCACTTTTTTTTCCGTCGCGAGAACTTAAAAATCATATATTTTCCATAATTTGCCTATATACGAATAGAATGTCAAGGCTTTTAAGTATTTGATGTTCGCATTGAAAATACATGGTTCTATTCTTCTTGAAACATAATTTCAGAATCTCCCAAACGTTCCTTTACGATTGTTTACTAGTTAATTTAATGAAGTTTTGTCAACTGTACATTTCGTACAGCGTTGAATGATGACATGAATGTAAATTATACACACATAGAAGGCAGCAAGGAAATATTCAACAAATGGGAAAAACAGACTGAAGAAAATCACGGAAAATATAACCTAATTCAATTCTAAAGGGTTTTGACTACGGTAGTTTACACTTAAAATTATTCATTGTCAGGACTTTTCCCATCGTATGTTCTTTAAAAACACGACGTTTCGGAGGCTGGTTCTGTCTCCGTCTTCAGGTGAGAGGTACCTACTCTGTTGGGTCCCTTAGACAGAGCTAGTCTCTGTCACTGCCTTAAATAACAATAACAATTTGATGTATTTCTTCGTATATTTCACTATCATTCCTTAAAGGTTGGAGCCACAGTTAAACAAGATACGAGGCTCCATTTTACATCTTCGTCGACTCCATGTTCACCACTGCTCTCTCAGAGCTACTTAAAACCATATTCTGTATAATCAAGAAACTTGAAGTCCTTTTGGGGGAGGGATATCTCACAACAGTGTTTCCTAAACTTTCCGTGAAAGTTATCAAAGGCCCTACGACACAATGGAACTTGTGGCCAGATATTGTTTGAAAGGACTGATACTGTAACACTGCAGTATTATCTTACTAATACTCTCAAGTAATCAAATTCTGGGAACATTTGCTATAAGTCATTTCAAAATCTCTTATATTTGGTATCCCAAATAAAAACAATTAAAACAAGATACTATAATCGATGTGAACCTTGATCTCTCGCATATAAATGTTTGACCGCGTGTTTGATTTGGTGAGAAAACGAATTACTGAAGCTAGTCACCAGTGTTTAGTTACTCGAATTGTGTGTACAAACACTTAATTTCGGGAAGACTTTTCTTCGATCGATGTATGGAACTACTGTATTTCTTTTAGAGTCAACAACGATGACACATCATGAGCATGCGGTGGGTCGCGACTCGAAATGTTTACACCACCTAGGTTCTAGGCGTAGCTTTAAATCATCAACCTTGTGAGCAATCCTTTTGCTCTATAAACGCAGAGCATGCCTGTCATTTAGTTCAAACTTAAAAGGAAATAACATAATAACTGTACATTATTTGAACACCTGCACTGGCAACCTAGCTCTGTTCACCGTATGGCAAAGACGTTCATGCCATACAGAACAACTAATTTCCCACTAGCTGAAGGTGCACGGTTGTTCCGTCTAAAATGAGAAGCAATTCACGGAAAACAAAACAAATACCGGTTATTGTTTCCTTATGGGCAGAGGTAACAAAAGTTTGCGTTCAAGACTTCAGAGCTTGTTTGTATGGGAACTGAACTCTTGTTTCTGCCTTAAATGACTGTCATTGTGTTACAATAGTCCTACATCCTTATATCAGTAACCTTTACGCGTATGAAAATAATAAAAAGACTACGGAAATTTATAAAACAATATAAAAAACCGTCAAAGATAAAATAAATTATATTTGTAATGTAATAAACCAGACTTTAAAAATGTAGAAACTTAAACGAAAGGCCTTCCAACCAACAGGATACTGTGAAAACTATTTTCACATCCTTCTAAGTCCCGTACGATCCTGTAAAACTTTCATCTTGTCCTTGTGGTGCTGATTCATATCCTGAAGTGTTAATTTATGGACCGAAAATGAAAAAAGATGAAGAAGAGAAAAACATTGGCTGGTAACAGCTGGCAGGGTCTACAGATTCAACTAACATATTGGATTTCTACGCTGTTTAAAATGAAGCCACTTGCAACCAATCAATGCATTAATAATTCGAGGCACGAAGCTGCGAATACGTGGCCAGCTGTCGGCAACACTTGCAAACGCCAGTGAGGTATGCACCCCACCCTACCGGAGCGTGTGTTGGGTTGCAGGGAGGCAGGGGTATGCTACCGAGCCAAACACAGCTAGTGGGGTCTCGAACGTGAGCGGCGTACAGTATGACCTGACTACATCTTTACCACACCACACCGTTCCTAGACTGGAGAACACTTATATCCCAATACATCTACGTACACCATTTTGGCAGCTGTACTCAACAGGTAGGCCTACTGGAATTTGGGGGGGGGGGGAAGTATAAATACAAATGACACTCCAAATAACAGAAATAAGTCCGAAGAGATCGAAGTACACATCTTAAATGGAAGGCAGGCGTAGTAAATTTACAGTACAGTCCCGATTATCCACCTAAACGGGACCGAAGGATGGTCGGATAATCGAAAATGTCGGAGAATAAAAAACACCAATTAAAATGTTGGGGGCAAATATCAACTCAATTAATAGCTCAGTTTGTGATATCATTAAATTAGGAAGAAAATACAATACGGCATCAAATGAAAAATAAATCTCAAAAACAAAACAAAACTAATGTAATGTAAATGTGAAAATGAAGGAACTTATTTAAAAAAATTGTAAAGGTTATTTGCTTTTGAGCCTCCTTTCTTTTCTTTGCCAACGCCCGAACAGTGGTAAGTCTGTACCAGTGAAAGGCGCCCAAATTTAGTATTCTGCCTAATTAATCTCGTTATAAAGACGACACTCTTCTGGGATGTTGCTCCGCGTACGGCGATGATCGCCCTGATGATGGAGGCAGTAAGCACATCCGAAACGTCTGTCAATTCCAAGCAGACTGTGTGGTGCAACATCCCAGACGACAGTCAGTCATCTTCACACCTGCCGCCGTGAGAACCTGAAACCTCACCAATCTCGTTATAAATTACATATAATCGAATAGTAAACTTACCTGGATCGGGATGTCGATAATTTCTTACGAGGTAGCAGAGCTGGAGCGGGAGGTATCGTGTGTCAGCCCGCTGAGGCGAGTGAGGGCTCGGAGGTGGTCCAGACAGGAACCCCCTCTGGAGTTCCCACCCAACTTCTGAGATGATACTCGCCTTGCGGAAATACGGCGTCACTTCTCGAAGGTACTTGACTGTAACATAGAACGAGGTCACCACTGGACGATCCGAGCGACGCAAGGAGGATGATCAGTGCCAGCGAGATGGTGGTGGTAGTTTTGAGTAGTAATGTTGGTGGTAGTAGTAGTAGTGGCAGGCAGAATGCAGGTAGGCAGCCAATCACAACGGTGACATACACAGAGAAAAAGAGAAGAAAAACGTGCATGCAGAAGCAAAATAACAACGAAAAACAGAATTAAAATAAGAATACGAACATTCCAGAGGAAAAATAATTAACGGCAAGTACAAAAAGCAGAAAAAAAACTTTCAGGTACACTACAAAAATACATTAGAAATTATCAACAGCACACAAATCTTTTTCAACTACTTAAAGAATCTTAGAAAGAAACCACAGCCTTCGAAACACACGAGGTCAATCCAAATGTCTAACTACATACAATTTGGAACAGACTACAGTCGACTGACATATACAATTAACTCTATAATCGAGATCCCTTTTTGATAAGGTAGTAGTTACTCAGGTAGTCAATAAATCTCCCGTCTTTTATGGAAAAATATAAGTTCATTGTCGTGTTCACAAGAGCAAGCCACTGGTTCTTGACCTGACGCGGATGAATCCACTCTACGCTACCATGCCCTATTTCTTTAAGATGTATAGACCCTATTAGTAGGCAATCATAACAGTAGACGGAAATGTTTCACTAGCATTCTACCCCACGAATGCTACTTCGTGAACTACACATACATTTCTGTAACCATTACAGGTCTAATATGGTCCAGTGAGGATGATCCTCACTGCCGTGAAAACCGCTGAACTAATAATTCGCCTGTCCCGTGTTGTCCCACATAAGCCGACTCGACGGACAAGCCGACAAACCATTCAAGCGTTCTGCCAAATGTCGTAATAGATACATCGACAAAAGCAAAAAGTAGAAGACGTAAAGAAGAAAATAATGAAGAATGTAAGGAAGAACGACAAATTAACTAAATACAGAGAGAAAGATGCAAGAACAGCGAATGACTGATGATAAGACAGAATTTTAAATGAGCCAGTTGAACTGATTCTAGATCTTAGTTTCCTAGTAACATTTGCCAGATTTCGACCCGTTAGACATACTTACAGAACTTAAAATATCTCTTAAATCAACGGACAATTTAAAAACGCAATGAATGACGCGTAGAACGTAGTTAAAAGAACGCAAACGAAAATATCAATAAACAAGCATCAGTTGGCCTGAATTTATACTTCTCTGCAATGTACAAAACATTTAATTACACCATAACTGTCTAATGGAATAAATTTTGGTGCAAAGTGATGAGAAAACCAATGAACAATCCTATACATTCCGAGTAAATCTTGAAAAATTTATTTCCAGTTTTAGATATTTAGCCGATAAAATGTGCCGAGAAGCAAAATTTGATTAACTACTTCATTCCTGACACGTTAATTTAAGGCACAGGCTATTATAAAGCTTACACGTTCAAAGAAAACACGACAGAAGAATGCACTTACGAGATCTCAAGACAGTCTTGGCATCATCTATATGCCTTTATGGGCAATGGAAACGACGCACTTGGAAAACAATGGCGTAACGAGACGAGCAGTTACCGACACACAAAATAAAATAGACATGGTAGAACAGTCGGATGTAAAGTAAGCACGAAACCAAAGCTACTAACATAAACCAACGCACTGAACTACAAGAAATACTAATAACAGTACATCACAAAGTGCATCTCTACAAGAAGCTGCAACAAAAACACAACAATACCTAAAACCGACAGACACAAATAACGATGTAAATATCTGATTCCGTACATTGATAAAAGCCACTTGAAGGAACACAACTTCACCGAAAGAAACGGGAAATCTGACACGGGCAGGACTATTTTCGATCTAGGCTCAAAATTGCTAGTCAGCCTCAAGATCACCTACTGTCTGCGCGTCAACAGAAGTCTTCTGGGAGTGGGGTGGGGTGGGGTGGGGGAAGAATGTGTTACTCCTTCACAGAACATACAATGTGTTTGGAATTTAAATAGGTGGAGTGCGCATGCGCAGTATGATCACTACTCCCTTCTACCGGTACTACTTACCAGCGAACTTCTCTTGGCGCACCGACAGTAACAAATTGTGGAATTTCGTAGTAGGATTTGAGGTTTTGGCGGCGATGATTCGGAATATGTCTGTCTTCCGGGTTGTTCCGCTGTGTAGTTCTACAAGACTACACGGCGCAACAACACAGAGACAACCATCTTCAGTGAAATTCCATGCCTGAACTTTATAAGTAGACGCCTTTGTACACTGATATATAAAAAGTAATTATGATGGGGAGCTACAAGAAATACGTTTTTCAACAAAGTGGATAAATATTGAAGGAGATTAACTGTAACAGTAAGTACTATATTAAAATACGGTAATGTATTCATTTAAAAATAGTAGTCGATACACTGTGGTGATTATCTGTAACTTAAGTCCACTGTATCATCAGCTCATCAGATTACGCTACACAGAAAAATCATTCCAAAAGAAAGGGGATCACACGAAGCACTATATATATATCAACTACAGAACAAGATAAAAAAAGGTGCAGCGACACAAAGAGCGTACACATCACAAATGCTTTCATAAAGGCACAAGCCATTAAAGCATGGTAATTTCAATGGCGAACGCATTCACATAAAAACAAATAATTGGTTCCAGGAAAAGAAGGATGACGTTTCTTTCAGATACAGCAATGCAACTACCAAAATATCAGTCAACAGTGACAGCTGATGAACTGGAATCCATAATGCACTTCAAGGAAAACATCCGAATGACGTGTGCTATCATTTAAAATTAGTAGCAGGCATTGCTACAAACAGGAATACGATAATTTTCTAAAATTTCAAAGGGTAAATCAAATTACAATTCAACCTCGATATCCTCCACGTTTCAGCATTTGTCGTGTTCGACATTAATTCTGGAACTGAAGAAAAAGATGCATTAAGACTTCACTGTGTAAAAGACTGTCGAATGACTTCTGTGATTCTGTTTTGCTCGTTGAGATACTTTCCGTGGAATGGGGTAAATTTAACTGCATAAAAATAAATTAGAGCTGACTAATATAAACTTACACTATTAAAATTGTAAGCAAAGTCAGATAAGATATTTCTTAGACTTTATTTCCACACACATGTACTACGAAATACTGGTAACATAAACAGAATTTACTACACTTCAGAAAAAACTGGCTCCTGTCAAATGGCAAAGATTTACAAAATTTTACCTGTTGTTTGTAATGGATACGATACTTGGTTCTCTGACCAGAAGCGAAAGTAGTGGATTCCGGATATTTAAGAAACAGTAATGAGAATATTTGGACTTAAGAGTAAGGATGGGAACGGATTTCCAAATAAAAAGATAACACAATTATCTAATCATTATGGTCATTATTAGTTTGGAGCTGGGAGATTAAGTTACACATTTATAAAAAAAGAAAACTCTACATCAAACGATCCTGTATAAGACACTAACCCTCATTAAGCAAGAGAAACATAACGCAATCAGTTAAACGATAACACAAAGTATTAATCAATATATAAAACAATTATCATCAATATTCCTTGTGATCGCTACACTGCACTATGGATGCTGCATTGCATCATGTCGGCAGACAGCTGTGCGGAGAATAACAGAGGACGCGCCTCTGCTGCTCAAAGGAAAGGAGTGACGAAGTAAAACGACGCTTCTCAAACCACGAAAATCTCCTCACTAACGACGTTAGGAAGTAGGGCAAAAATAAGTCACTCAAGTCGAATCATGCCATTAGTAATTTTCGTGGATCACAATGTAAGATGGCGTTCCCACGGCGCTGAAGACATTGATGGTAGTCTTCAGGGCAGTGGCACTGCGTGTACTTCGATGTTTCAGAGTAACATAATGCCTCCATCTTCAGGGCTGGAGTTCACACGCCGAAACAACACAGAATATTGTGACGTTATTCTGGGTTGTAACGCCGCGTGGACTGCCAGTCATCTTCGACGTTTAATTCAGTATCTCCCATCTGACATTGCGTAATCGCGGCAGGATATATGACGTCGTGTATCCGAAGCGTGTACTTAGCCTCAATGCTTGATGATGACTATGTGAAGAGTGACACGTGACATTTAACACTGCAATAAATTTCTCAACAGCGTCCGCTGTCTGGGCGACACAAACGTCCACCTGGCACCTTTTAATTACATCCCAGCAGAATCAAGCCTCTATACACAATTACTCACATGTTTAAAACACGTTTTATCACCTGCGTCCGTAATACAGGGTCGACTGATCGTGGGTGACGGTGTGGTAACGATTTTGAAATAGTAATCACACACCGCAACATAAACACGGATGGGCGGAGGAAAACCACTTAGTCAGTTTCGAATCGGGTATCTCACAAATGAGAAGAAATGAGACACATTTTTTAATAGCAACATTATCATGCCTGATGCAAAGTGGAAGCAGGCCTGCTTGAAAACTAAATGTGAAGTTAAACAGCTGGAACTAAAAGTGATTAATTCATCGGGGACCAGAAGAAATTGCATTACGCCCACTCTCTCACACTTCAGGCAATAAAGTACGCTCAGCTAGTCAAAGAAATTTCCCGCCTTTTATGGAACCAGAAGGTTCATTGCCGTGTTCACAAGAATCCGTCACCGGATCTTACACCTTCGTGCCAGATAAATTCACTCGACACCCACTAACCCTATTTCAACAAAATACATAAGTAACCAAACACAGACTCTTTTTCCATGCATTCCATACTTTCAACAGAAGCAACTGCGGAGAAATCTGATAAAACGACAAACTAGTAACACATAAGCTTATATAATTAATATAACGATTATAAACTTGTTACGAGATTCCTCGCAAATAATAAAGAGATGACCGAAAATGTAGAGCCGTTCTACCACAATGTTGATACTAGAAAAAGCCATTATGAAGAAAATACGTATCACCGGTATTTTAACGAGCGTATAAATAAGAAGATCCATAGTTAGCAAGCGGCAAGTAACC